TGTTTTTTTCTAAAAGATTTCTAGATTGTCTATCCTTACAGTATTTGGAAATTCCATATTTGGTAATAATCCTGACTGCATTGGTTAACTTCATTGGAACCACATTTGGAATGTTCCAACTCCAATTGGAATTTATTAGAATGCTCCAATGAAATTTTTATTGGAACCATAAATGGCACAACACTGCATTACACAGTAACAATAAAACACTTTTATAATCATTATCAAACCCTTTACTAATTTTGAACCATAATATATAATTGCGCTTTGATGGGTCACCAAGAGTACATTATTTGGAGTATCAAAATTCTAAGAAAAATTGGTGGACCACCAAGGTAAAATTATTATAGAAAGATATATAATAAAAATTATGCTTTGACGGGTCACCAAATAGGTATACTATGTGCCTCATTCTTGCATTCGAATGCAATGCATAAAGCAAAATACAGATTGCAAACAATTGTTCTTAGACGAAAACGGCTCAAATTAAGATCTGATATACTGAGTACGCGCATGAAAACGGCACAGAAAAATTGAGTTACATTCTGCCTTTGAGATTGCTTTTCCTGAAGTGCTACATAAAGTCGATAGTAAACCATGGTTCACGATAGTCACGTTTGTTACATCTTGGAACCTGAATGCAGGGTATAAATAAATATTCTTACTGTCTGATTAAACGCCCGATTTAATAGCCAATTTAATACCAAATGACAACAAAAACGCAAAATACACCTCACTTGACTGTTGTTTAAAATGCAACATAACTATATATATCTCATTAACCTGCAATCGAATGACGTCATACAAGTGAATGCATTGTCGAATTGCATATGAATACACTTTTTTTTTACTACCTAATCAACGTGGCCAAAAAATAAAAATGGAAATCCTAGACTATCCCATCTATGTGGCCAAAAATTTGGAATGAGCCGCACTCAAGTGTGGCTAATAGTTAGCATGTGGTCTGACGGCAAAAATAGACCACATCCTTATCCTGATGATAGTTCGCATGTGGTCAAAAAAGCAGATTAGGACACATAGGTAGGTAACAATATATATATATATATATATTGTTACCTACTTAGATTACAAAAAAAAGCAACAAGGGCAAATAATTGAAGTAAAACCCAAGAAAGCCAAACAAATCCACCCCAATTCTTTTTTATTGAAAGATAATACAACGTCTATTTCACCATATTCATATTATTTAATAATATATGACAGTTAATTAGTAAATTATTTTCTTCCGATTTTCCTTTCTTTGTTATATATAATACTTTGGTAAACTTCACAGGCAATTTCTCTAATTTTCAAATGCTTTGAATACAGTGTTGCAACATCAAACAAAAACCAGTGTTAATATTTATATTAATTAATATTTTCATCTTAACAAAAAAAAAACAGGTTGGGAAAATTTCCTTTTTTCATATCAATAATTTGGTTGCACGATTTTTTTTTTTCGCACAAATTTTTAGGCCCCAAAAGATCATATTGGCGTGAAAATTTTGAACTTGCGATTTTCTTGACATAATGTATGTTCAAATATAGTATGAAGAATTGATTATTAATCCTTGTTTATCGCGTGATTTTCTTTTTTATATAATCAAATATGGTTGAAAATTTTTAAAAACATGATGAATAATTTATAACTGTTGTGCGTGAGTGAAAATGAAATCTATGTGGATTTGCAATCCCACGAACGTGAAATTCAAATTAGCCAACCAGAATTTCATATCTAAACACCCCACCTCAAAATTTTAGTTATAAAAATTTCGATTTCACATTTCACATATAAACATAATCAACCAATTTTCTTTCATCATCTTATAAATATATATGTGTGTTGTTGGTAATTTATTGTATTTATTTAACCAACTAATTACAAACATTATATATTTCTTCTTTATAATGTTTTCTAATAATATAGAAAATGGAAAAGAAAAAAATCATTTATTATTTCCCACCTTGAAGATTATGACATCAGTCCAAAAACTGGATTTCTTCAATCTATACTCCTCCCCTACGTTGTCTACCTGATACCTATTATGAGCCATCGGAAAACTTGATCGACGATTTTCACAACTTATTGTTAACTGACTGTCTAAGAGAGTCTGTTGGAATGGTTTGTTAACAATTATTTTTTTGGAATATTAATGCGTGTGTGTTTATAATTTATAATAAAAATTAAAGAATATCTGTATATTTTAGTTACCAATATTAAGAACGGATAAGCTTAAAAACTCTGCAAAATATAAACGTGCTTTTTTGGTTTTATCAATATTAGCACATGGTTATGTTCGAGGAAAATATGATGAATCTGTGATCGATGTAAGGATTGATAGATTTCCTTTTCTCTTTTACTTTTTCTTTATACTTGGATCTTATTTATTTGTATATACTAACTTGTATTGCTATACCATGGGTCAAAATATCTGATTATCTTAATGTGGCACTGGTAATGAATCATGCAGCTTTGACATTATGGAATTGGTATTCAATCTCTCCTGATGAAGAACCAAGTTTAAAGTTAATATCCTAGAAGAAATATTTTTTTTAAAAGCGCATTTTGTTATTTTCTAATTTAAATTTTTTTTTTCAAATAATTAATTAAAATAATAATATAACAGCCAGCAATCTTTCTACGCTAATTACTTTTACAAATACTATGGAACAATCTTGGTTTTACCTTGTTACAATTGTTATTGAATGTTTTGGCGGGAAAGCTCTCACTGCAATTATTTCTGCAGCAATTCAATCTGCTCATGATAAAAACAATAAACAACTGATTGAATCTTTAAAAATTATTAGTTCAACCATTGATGAAATTACCAAAGTTCTTCTTCAGATTTATGAAAAACGTGATTCTTGTATTTTCTATCAGAAGATACAACCTTATTTGATATAATGATGAAGATTTCCAAATGGATTGAAATATGAAGGTGTGGATGGATGTGATGAAAATGGAAATCCTATTATCGCCAGTATGGTGGTGGAAGTGCTGGTCAAAGCTCATTGATCCAATAATTAGACATCGCACTTAATATTGAACATCATCCAATTTGTTACTAAGCCAATTACAAACAATATTAGCAATTATAAGTATTCTCATGAGTCATCTAATGAAAACCTCAGTAACAACTATAATAATACAAGCAAAAAAAGGCAGAGTATACAACAGCAGCAGCATCAACAACCTTATATTTACAAGATTCATCAAAAAATTCCTGGAAATCATCAAATATTCCTTGAGGATTTGACAAAAGCTGCAATCATACATGATTATATTACATCATGTATTGAATGTGATGATAACATGGAAATAAATGGTAAATTAGACAGTAATAAAATCGCTGAAAACAATGAATTGGTTAAAGCCTACAATGACTGTTTAAATAAAATGACAATTTTCATTTACAAATTGTTTGCATTTACATAATTCAAGCACGTAATAAAAGTTCAAAGGTGAAGCTAGATTCTAATAATAAAGGTACATATATGTATATGCATAAAATTGGTTGTCAGATTTGATATTTTCTAACACTTGATAATAAATTTTTTATTTTATTTTCAATGTTTCAATAGATGTTACCAATGGTGCTGTCACTAGTGGTTCGATTATAAATGGCACTATTTATAACGGTTCTGCAACTAATTTTGTTGCTGCTGATAATAATAATAATAATAATGGTGCCACTACTACTAATGGTAACATCACTGCTACCACACCAAACAAGATTTATAATGATTTAAATGTAGTTAGAGACACTGATGGAATTGATTTAATGCCTTTTTTGAAACAGATGAGAGAAGAAACTAAATCTAAAGAGATTAAAAATTTAAAGGATCATCTGATTTCAAACAAAAAAAAATCACTAGAACTTTTCTTTTAAATAACTTTGTATCTTTAATTCTTTTATTATTCTTATATTATTTAACATTGTATATAATATAACACTTATTACATCAACCAATAATAGAAATTCTGTTGTTTAAAAAAAATGGATTATTTATTGATTTATTTATCAATTCATTTATTAATACAGAAAATTTTTCCAAAGAAATTTCATAGGACCTTTAATAAATTTTTTGATAATTTTTAATTAAAAATCATGGTTTTATTTAAACTTCTACTATCACCATCAAATACATGTAAATATGCATAAAAAACATATTCCAGGAATTAATGTAAAAAAAATTGTTAATGATTCTATTTTACTACGATTTAGTGATAATGAATAAAAATCCTCTTAAAAATTCCCAATGTCTTTTTTGGTTAATCATCAACATCTGACCAGATTTAAATAATGTAAGCTGACAAGTCCAATAGAAAAGGTTGTCTGGTAGCGATTCTTTTCTAGAAAAAAAGTTTAACATTTGGTGACAACATAAGATTATAAAATTTTCCATCTTCTTTACTAATAGTAAAATCAAGACTATATAATGATAGTTATGAAGTGTTGGTGGAATTATCACGAATGATCTGAAATTGTTTTTTCAGGTCTTCTGATATACTTATATTATCAAGTGAATCAACATCCAATTGTTTAATTTGATTTTGTGCCTTGATCAGTTGAGTTAGATTGCAATCAGCATTCTTGCTTGATGAAAAGTTAATGCTAAAAAATGTAATAGTTGATGACAAGCCGGAACTACTAGATATGCTTGGTTGATATTCATATGAGAAATCATTATGATGTATTTTCAAAATTTGAATATTTTTACAAACCTTTGTTAATTTATCTATTAATTTAGGACTACTGGAATAATTACATTTAAATTCATAAAGATTTTGAAAACAAGTATCAAATCTATCATGATCAATCAACCATTCACAAGTATCTAATTCACGATTATTAATCATGATCAACCATTGGAATGTTAAAGCAGTACAGTCAAGTTTCTTGATAGTTGTTGAAGAATCTAAAATAAAATATACTAATTTTTTTCTGAATCGATCGAATTCATCAGAGTAATAATCATCTACCAACTTATTTGAATTATTAATAATTTTCCAAAAATCTAGCTCTGTAGTAAATCTCGCATAATTATGTAACAGTGGCTTCTCCAACAATTCAAAGTTCAATTCAAGACTATTTAACTCTTCATCTTCTTCTGCATACAAACAATTAATTAATATTTTGGTGCTTTTTTCATTATAGAATGGATTTTTCCACAGCTTTGGAATGTTAATATTGTTCCATTGCTTATTGACAAGAATAAAAGAATATAATGTTTTATAATCATCATCATCTTCGGTATATTTAAATATTTCGATTAAAAGTTCAAGTGGTAATGTTGTTGAAAACATTTTTTTTTTTTTTTTTTTAAATTTGTTTGTAAACATGAAAAAGGGATTATTATTTATTAGCATTTTAGGAATCTGGGACAAAGAAAGGTTACTAAAACAAGATAGTATACGGTGTAGATCATCCAAAACAAAAAATCGTAGTGACGTTTTTATTGTTGACTCAAGCTTTCAAAACTTATCGACTAATTTTTTTTCTTGAACTAAAAATTGGTTGAGCTTTGGCGTTTTGAAAAATTATTATTGACTTGTATAAAAAATTGAGACTAAGTTTCGTATAATAATTTATACCAAATGAGATTATCATATTAATAAGTATGTCCACTGAAAAGGATTTGTGTTATGTCTAATAATACTATTACCACCATATACAACAATTATTCGACCATCAAGCACTATACATTTAATTTTTTACAATAGATTTGTTTTACCTAATACTGATGATAAAGACTCAAATCGGTTAGAAGGTTTACCACCAGATGTATATAAAATAAATGGAATCTTTAGTGATTGATATATCATATATAATTTTTAACTATTTATTATCCGAGTTAGGGCTATTTTCGAAACATAAACAATGACTTCATCATTTAACAAATAAAGATTAAATTATTTACTTGTTTCAATAGATGTTAACGTTAAACTATCAAAATCTATAATAAAAAAAATATCACAAACTTTTCTTTGATAATCTTGTACAGATGGTGTAATTTTGGAAGTTGGTTGTGATTGTGAATAGTTAATGGGTTTCAGGCATCAAAGGATTTTGGATTTATTGAATAAACTAAAGAACCGTAATTTCTGATACAACCTATAAGATAAATTATATCATTATTAGTTCCTCCAAATTCTATTGCTGCATGTGAAAGTGATAGTGGTGAAATTTTTGGATTATGTTGTTTTTATTGGTAACGGTTTATCAAGTGAAAATGAAGTGGATTAACAAACTTGGAATGCCCTCCAAAAAAATATATTCCATTTTTTATCGAGGTTGCATTACATCCATCAATTAGCCAGTTACTTGATAAGAATATTAAGGAATAAACTTTTATGAATGTTTTTTTTTAATTATGGTAAAAAAACATTTTGTTTTATTAACAGACAATCACATTATAGTAACAAAAGGATGAAGCAAGATTTGTTTGTTTAATATTTCTCTGTGTAAGAAGTGCTTAGGATTTTTTTTCTTCAAAATTTAGTATATAACATCACTAATATGATGTGATCATGACAATAATAAGGACTTTTACATAATTTATTTTATAAATATTATAAATATTTTATTCATTATTTATTATCTTATAGGGTTGTTTAAAGATTCATGCAAAAAGGTATTAATCATTTTTTGTTTATTTTTATGTGACATTTGTTACTGATTGATTACAAAAATTGAATATACAATGATTTATCTTATATATATAAATAGGTGCTGAATTAAGAAGTGTATGTACAGAAAATGACTTCTTAGAATCTGTTTAATAAAGTGTGTTATTTTGCCAAAATTATATCACTATTAACAGAAATTTATATATAGTAGCCCAAAATCACAACAACAAATTATTGAATGTGCATAATTGACATCCACAAATAAAAAATCCAAAGAATTGACAATTGTGAGACATTATATAATATCACTGTTAAATATAATTAATTAATTATCTATAATTTCATATTTAATATCACAACTATAGTAGCCAAATAAATAAAATAAAAAATAATAAATAATTTTAATACAACAAGATTTAACTTATTTGGGTAATCCATCTGGTATAGTTAATTCAATCTGTCTGGAATCTGGCATAGCTAAATCAATTTGTTTAGAATCTACAAAATATTTATCACAAGAGTGGATATTAATAAACATTGTTAATTTTAAAAATTAATAAAAACAAATAATCAATGATTGAATGTTAATAATTACCATTATTATTACCAATAATTGTTATTTTATTGGAATTCACAGGTTGGGGAAGGTTTGTAAATTTTAATAATCTGCTAGTATAAACTGCATTTGGATGAATTACTGCAGTAATTGTTGAAGGATCAAATTTTATTTTATCCATTTCATCAAACTTTCTTCTAATTGATTTTAATTCATCCTGCTGTTTTTTTGAATATTCATTATATCTAGTATAATCCATTATATAATTATGCAATGAGTCAAACCAAAAACAAATAATCTTTTTAATTTCTTCAGCAGTTGGACGTTTATCTGGATTAGCATCCATGCATCTAAATGCCAATGCAATATAAAATTTTGGAGTATTGTTTGAGAATCTAGGTCTTGCACCTTTACATATTTTCACTGCAAGATCTAGATCATGCGCCAAATTATTAAATGGTTGTTGACCAGTTGATATTACAGACATCAAAACTCCAAAACTGTATATATCTGATGCTCTTGTATATGGTTTCTCTTTTAAAACTTCTGGTGCAATATATGGTAGTACTCCACATATATCATTTTTGTTTGATGATGATGTTTGACTGGCTAGGCATGATAATCCCAAGTCTGCAATATATGAACTACCATAACTTTGAAAAATATTACCACTATGAAGATCATGATGAATAATGTCTTTCTCATGAATATCTCTTAAACCAGTAATAATATTATAAAGAATACTAATTTTCTGTTTCCATTTTAAATTTTTAAAATCTTTAGTTAAATAATTTTGAAGACTTCCATTTTCAATATATTTCATTACAAATATATATTCTTTTGTAATTGAGTCTTGTGTTAATCCATAAATATGAATTATATTCCATTTATCATGAAACTTTATATAATTTTTGAACTAAAACAACAAACAAAATATTTAATTACAACATTAATAATCAATAATAATTTAAAAAATCAGAAAATAAATAGAAAAATATAATTTACCTCATTAAGAAATTCAACAGAAATATTCTGTGAATTATGTAGTTTTTTTAATGCCACAGTCCTATCTTTGCTAGTTCTGTTATGATTTCCATTTTCATAATTTATACCTTTCTCACCATTTAACCAAGTAGCTTTGTATATAGTTGCAAAACCACCATCACTAATCTTTTCAATATTTGTTAAATTATTATAAGGAATCCATTGAAGATAATAATAATCACCATACTTAGTTGCTTTAAGTTGTGTACTTTTAATCAACTCATCGAATGTTTCATTGCCACTAGTCCATCCTTCAGTTAATATCTTTGGGTCACATGATTGACACCAGAAATAATTAGTATTATATCTATTGCAGGTTGGACATTTCCTATATCTTTTATTTCTTATATATGGATCTTCATAATCTTGAATACTTCCATCTTCTATATAATCCATTACAAAGATATATTCTTTCGTAACTGGATCTTGTGATAATCCATAAATTTTATTTATAAATAATTCACTATAAAATCTAACATAATTTCTAAACTATATAAAAAAAAAATAGATTGAATTTCAGAATAATATTTAAAAATCTGAAAATAAACAGAAAAATAAAATGATTTACCTCATTAAGAAATTCATCAGAAATATTGTGTGGATTATGTGGTTTTTTTAATGCCACAGTCCTATTTTCACTAATTCTGGTACACTTTTTA